ATTTCCTTTTGTTTGGGAAAGAGAGACACTGGCAGCGGTCCACTCTACCCATGATTATGGGTTTTGGTCAAATATCATCTCTTTTTGATTAATGTCAGGGTACTTTATAAAGTCGAAATATAAAATGATATCTTTATTAATAAGGAGGAAGTTTCAACGATTTCGAAATTTTTCCTTTGAAAACATTTCCTTGTGTTTGGGTAAGCATATCGGTCGATCACTGACTGAATTTGCCACTTTATACTCATTCAAGTTGGCATTTAATTTATATATAATGACATTGAACTGTCGTGGTAAAGCAGAATTTGTTCGAAATCACGAATGAGCAAAATTATCACCTTTCGCACGTGCAAACTATGAGCGGACGTTGCGTGCGCATCCAATATTGAATCGCCCTAAATTTTTGCGTGTTGGTGTTTTATATATAGTTTGATAAGCATGCAAAGTTTCAAAGTATTTCAAGAAGAACTGTAATCACCACGGCACACCAAAGTTTACAGAAAATGGTAAAAACAGCAATTTTCAGTGATTTTAGCAATTTTTAATCAATTTGGGCGTGTCCCCACGTGTGCATCTTTTCGATTTTTAACTTTAAAACTAGCCTAATGCACAATTTATACCTATAGGAAGCAGAACTGAGCTCCACAACCCAAGGGATAGCCCAACACCAGAGAATACTAAATCGCAAAATTGAAGTTTTTGTAAAATAATTCTTCAAAAAAGCACTAACTTCAATGGCAAATATCTTTATGAAGAAGCAAGGTAGGGAAATTTTCCGGTAGATTTTCAGAATGCTTAAACAATTATCTAACTTCAATACGTCCTCAAATGTTGAATAAAATTACTCTTTAATGGCGTAAAATCGATTTTAAAAGTGATTACTTTGTCAAAAAACAGGTTTTTTAAATGGTTAACTTGATGACGTCATCAAGTGGTAATGATGACGTTAAATTACTTTTTAATATAATGTAAACTAAAGTCTAAACAATTATCTTCAAGACCTGTGGTCCGAGATGGCTGTATCTTTAAAGCTTCTGAATCTACGGACACCTGAATATAGCCTATAATTTACTGGCAAAGCGTCTATCCCTGAATATATATGTATATCTGTATATCTGTATATCTGTATTTTACCAAAACCCATAATCATGGGTAGAGTGGACCGCTGTCAGTGTCTCTCTTTCCCAAACAAAAGGAAATGATATTACTTTGATTGACCGTTCTCAAATGCAAAATGATACCGAGAATGAAATCGGTCGCTCGCTTTTCCCATTCATTCACGGCTTACGAATTGTAATAAGTTTCGATTGATTACATCAATCAGATGCTGTAAAAATCTCTTTGGGTTGCGTTCGGGTCGATACCTAGTATTTCGGGGTAAGGGTGGTAGTTATTAGTATTACTTATTGAATTAGCTGAAGTTTATTGAATCTTCATTGCCGAGTACAGCTGCCTTTGAGTAGTTTTTCTTAATCTATTACAATTGTAAATGAATGGGAAAAGCGAGCGACCGATTTCATTCTCGGTATCATTTTGCATTTGAGAACGGTCAATCAAAGTAATATCATTTCCTTTTGTTTGGGAAAGAGAGACACTGACAGCGGTCCACTCTACCCATGATTATGGGTTTTGGTAAAATATCATCTCTTTTTGATTATAATGTCAGGGTACTTTATAAAGTCGAAATATAAACTGATATCTTCATTAATAAGGAGGAAGTTTCAACGATTTCGAAATCTATCCTTTAAAAACATTTCCTTGTGTTTAGGGAAGCATATCGGTCGATCACTGACTGAATATGCCACTTAATACTCATTCAAGTTGGCATTAAATTCATATATAATGACATTAAACTGTCGTGGCAAAGCAGAATTTGTTGGAAATCACGAATGAGCAAAATTCTCACCTTTCGCACGTGCAAACTTTGAGCAGACGTTGCGTGCGCATCCAATATTGAATCGCCGTAAATTTTTGCATGTAATTGTTTTATATATAGCTTGATAAGCATGCAAAGTTTCAAAGTATTTTAAGAAGAACTGTAATCACAACGGCACTCTAAAGTTGACAGAAAATGACGAAAACAGCAATTTTCAGTGATTTTAGCGATTTTCTATCAATTTGGGCGTGTCCCAACGTGTGCAACTTTTCGATTTTCAACTTTAAAACTAGCCTATGACACAATTTATACCTATAGGAAGCAGAACTGAGCTCCACAACCCAAGGCATGGCCCAACACCAGAGAATACTAAATCGCAAAATTGACGTTTTTATAAAATAATTCTTCAAAAAAGCACAAACTTCAATGACGAATATCTTTATGAAGGAGCAAGCTAGAAAAACTTTCCGGTAGATTTTCAGAATGCTTGAACAATTATCTAAGATGAAATTTTCCTCAGATTTTGAATAAAATTACTCCTTAATGGTTTAAAATTAATTTTAAAAGTTATTACTTTGTCAAAAATCAAGTTTTAAAAACGGTTAACTTGATGACGTCATCAAGGGGTGTTTATGACGTCATATAATTTTTGTATACAATGTAAACTAAAGTATAAACAATTATTTGCAAGACCTGTGGTCGGAAATGGCTGTATCTTTTATACTTTTAAATCTATGGACAATTAAATACAGGCTACAATTGACTGGCAAAGCGTCTATCCCTGAATATATATATATATGTATATATGTATCACGACAATCTATCGTAAAACAGGGGTTCTAGAAAACCCACTTCCCGATGCTCCTGAAACCTGAAACTTTTTTTGCAGTCGATTTGGTCAACGTCTAGACGCCCTGAAAAATTTCAGATCTCTAACTCAATTTTAACATGGTTTTTAAGGCACCTGAATATGGCGATTTTGGGTTTTTTACCGAATTTCGTATAACAGTGCTGGCGAGTATTTTATGCAAATTTCTTAAAAATCTCAACATAACTATTTTTTATTCCTGTCATCTTTGACATCAAATTAGAATGTTTTGAACTAAAAATAAATCTGCTGAACGACTTCCGATGAGTCTTAATGCCTGAAAAACGCCTCCGGCCGGAGTGCACGCTTCGCGTGCACGAAAGAGGCTTGTAACGTGTACCAAAGGGGGTATAATAGTAAAGGGGGTATAATAGTAAAGGGGGTACATAGTATACCCACAATAAATGCACCGGTCGTGCTTGCCAGCACTGTGATATCCTGACATTCGTCCCATTTGCATGGAAATCGCGCTATCGCTTTCCCAAAGATAGCCATAACTTTAGTATAGCAATACTGAAGGTGAATATCGTTAAATGACGTAACTCGTGGAGATCAGTTGATGAATTTAAGTAATTTAAATATTTAGCTTCAAGCAGTATCAACCGTGGCCCGGCCGAAATTAAGTGCGATTCCACTTTTAACAAAATGCCCCTATATATGTAGTTCTGCAGAATACAAATAGGCGCTCCTATACTTAATCGCTCGCCCAAATTTTAAGAAAATTCTTGAGAAAAGGCCCTTTGGGTATGAAATTGATTTAAATCGGTGTATTTTTTGATGTTGATTCCGAATCACCCCCCATGACGTAGGGTAAAAATGCTTCCCTGGAGAGTTATGGGCAAAAAAACCGTTTTGGTCACGTGACAGGCTAGTAAAACATGAATTCGATAATTGTTTAGGGCTCGGGTTAGGGTTGTGGTAAGAGTTATGGATAGCTTCGGGTTATGGTAAGGGTTAGGATTAGGGTTTATGTAAAACTGTTTTGTACGGTTGCAAAACCATAAAAACCAAAGTCACGTAAAATTTTTGGGCGAGCGAATTAGTAAGAGCCACAAATAGGGGCTCAAATATTAATTTCGTCTCAAAAGTAAAGGCTGGCATAGTTTTTATCAACTGCAACAGATCGAAGCCCTTACTGTCACGATTCACACCACGAGGCCAGGCCCAGGTGACGATGGTTATCATCTATTGACGGAATATCCTATGGTGATATGTTGTCCAATTCCAAAATATAAAAAGCAAAAATGAAGATCCGTTTTTTATCAAATTAAAATGACCAGGTCATTTAAGTTTAACGTTATTGATAATGATAAAGGAAAAAATTTCAAACTTTAAAAAAACTTAATCGATTTTCATTTATCAATAATTATATTTTTCAGTCTCCGATAATTCAAAGTGTTGAAGCTTTATTTCTTTTGTTATATGGGGTTGTACAAACGACTAGTGATGCTACGAAAAATGATCCATCACATGGCGCACAGCTCTGTTGCTCTGTAAATACTTATAAAAAAAGCTCTGGATGATCTCAGACTTGTAATAGGTATCCGTTTATCAATATGAGTGTTTGGTAAGTGAACCGAGAACACCTGCTATAGTGCGCATTAGATTATTTCTATCGTTAATTTTACGTACTACGTGATCTTTTATAAAATAAAAATGGTCAATGTTACTGGGCCGCACTCAGCCTGTTATTCCGCCGGTAAGGTCAATGCAGTGCCGCTATGGTTCGAGTCACAGGTTAATTATTTCGTAGGTCCTAAGGCTAAAATGACTCCTCCAGATCCGGTCTTATCCTTAGATTGGACAGAACTCGATATAATAATAGGGTTAATAATAGGGTTCCTGCTACTGCTAGTAATAATAATGTATGCAGGCTCGCTTTTAAAAGATCTGGAGCCTGAACATTCGACGCTAAAAAATAATCAAAGACCGTGTGTTGCATGTATTTCCGAGCGTGCTAAATCGCTATAAGTATAAACTATAGTTGAACTTCGAAATTTAAAACAAATTGAAACCAACTTGTCAACTTGAATCGTTTTTAACGCTAATTCCGAATCACCCCACCTGACATAGGGTTCCGGTCAAAATGGTCCCCGGGCGAAAAACTGTTTAGATCACGTAACATGACCATCTAAGAAAGTTGGTTTAATTTCTCCTCGGGTAACGGCCTCGGAGAAAGACAGACATCTGACTCGAAAGACTAAAGATTTGTTTGTAAAACGTGGGAAATTTAACAAAGAAATAACTTCAAAATTTAAAAATGAAAAGTTACAATTTTAATATGATTCTATTAACATAAAAATATTATGCAGGTACCAAATTAAGACCACATAATTGTTAGTCCTTCTGCAATATGATGCATATCATGCGATGGGCCTTGACACGCGCTGCAACCCCTTTTGATCGCGCATGAAACCCTTGGTTTGACCAACAAACTAGGACCGGTGACCAAACTTTTGAGGGGGTCCCGGACCCCAACCACCGAACAGTGCCCGCGGGAGGTTGGGGTTCGGGACCCCCTCAAGAGTTCGGTCACCGGTCCTAGTTTGTTGGTCCAAGTTTCGCAAAAAAATCAGGGTGAGCCCAAAGGAAGGCGGGTGAGCCTTAAGGAAACTTATTCCTAACTACTATTTACTAGAATTCTGTTCTATTTATAGTTTTATACTTCAATATTTCATAACGTTCGAGTAACAAATAACTTTTAGTATATCCATCTCAGCAGGAAAGTACTTGAAACTATTCACTAATAATTGTTCATATCCAGGCTTGCCAGCCAACAAATATACGAGAAAGATTGGCGGGATCTTGCGCCTTTCTAATGAGATGGTTAATCTGTCCCTCCACCCCCAGGACCACTCCCTCTTCAATACCCTCCAGCTTTCTCTTCAGAGATCCCAGGACACGCTGTGCTTGGTTGTTACTATTATCCTGGCTTTCTTCGTCTGTAAAAAGAGTTACTGTATGTTATTAAACGAATTATTTCATCTCAGCTTCCGCTAGTCTTCCAGGGCCACAGGTTTGAAATTATTGTGATAGACAGGGCAGGAAAATAGAATACCAGAAAAATGTAAGCTGATAAGTTAAAGAATTATTAGACCCCAATTTCTAGAATTACCAGATGTTAATAGTCCCTGACTAGTGCGTGTTAAAGTTCCCCCGCTCTTAATGAATAATGGGCGCTAATTTAACAAGTGCTATGCTGAACATGCAGCCGACAGAGGAGCCTCATTGTCTAGGAGTGCAGTGTGTTCAAACAATCAGGTCTTTGTAATCTCGCCGCGCGAGGTGGTTTTTAGAATTATAGAGGACAATGGAGGTAGTTATCTATATATTATATATATTATATATACCTGCTAATCTCTACCAATTTCTTTCTAGACGAGAATAGTATGTTGCCATGGTAGGGTGTCAAGTTACAATAGTAGAGAAATGGCACCCTACCTCCCTCGTCTAGAATGGGTCTAACTCACCAGATTTGGGTGAGTCATGTTGTTCCTTGCTGGTGTCGGTGGTGGTGTCGTTGATACACCAGTTAAACAGAGGATCATGGATAAACACCTCAATTATAGCAAATAGCAGCTCCTTGTTCTCCTGGATTATGAAATGATTTACTAGGAAAGTTCACGTTCACAGTATATCACTTCATAATTCGTGTTCGATCATATCAATAAAGTTAACTGCAGTCTCTTGAAAAGTCAATTTAGATTGAGAGCATGCATACCAGGTGGCCTCCTCAAACTATCTATTTAACAATTCAACTAACCTTCAGGACCCGCATTACATGCTCACAAGATCTTCTGAAGGTCCCTTCTGTACCAGTTATACCTAGTCCGTCAACTAGGTCACGTGTTAGTCTGAAGGGAACTTTCTCCGGTATGTGCAACAGCTGGCCCTGTGCCAAAGATAACTCGTCAGTTTAAGTAGAATTATCTTACAGAAATTAATCAAGGAAAACTTCAAATCTCAGATATAGGCAGTTAGTGTAACTTGATGGGAGAGGAGTATACAAGTATAAAAAGTGATTATTCACAATTCACAACAACTAAAGAATAGATAGAAATACGAATTCATGTCAAAATGTAAAACCTGATCGAAAGCGACCCCCAAGTCGATGTGGATGAGTTCTGAGGTAGCCTTGTCGATGAGAATGTTCTGGACGTGTCTGTCACCAAGACCCACTATGTGGCCCACTGAAGATGATTCGAATAAGTTGGAAATAGTTAGGAACTGTACAGTGTATAAAGCTACATTTTTTATCATATTTATTGAGATATCACCAGAAGATACAGTGCAGAGATCACTCCTGACCTTACACGGCCCCAATAGAATGGCCGAAAAAAAGAGTCCACATGATCACATGCTATAGAGTCTAGACTTACCAATACTGGTAGTAGCGAGACTGTAAGTATAGTTACACTTCTGTTTACTTACCAATACTGGTAGTAGCGAGACTGTAAGTATAGTTACATTTCTGTTTAATTACCGATACTGGTAGTAGCAAGACTGTAAGTATAGTTACACTTCTGTTTACTTACCGATACTGGTAGTAGCGAGACTGTAAGTATAGTTACACTTCTGTTTACTTACCGATACTGGTAGTAGCAAGACTGTAGGTATAGTTACACTTCTGTTTACTTGCCGATACTGGTAGTAGCAAGACTGTGAGTATAGTTACACTTCTGTTTACTTACCAATACTGGTAGTAGCAAGACTGTAGGTATAGTTACACTTCTGTTTACTTACCGATACTGGTAGTAGCGAGACTGTAAGTATAGTTACACTTCTGTTTACTTACCGATACTGGTAGTAGCAAGACTGTAAGTATAGTTACACTTCTGTTTACTTACCGATACTGGTAGTAGCAAGACTGTAAGTATAGTTACACTTCTGTTTACTTACCGATACTGGTAGTAGCAAGACTGTAAGTATAGTTACACTTCTGTTTACTTACCGATACTGGTAGTAGCAAGACTGTAGGTATAGTTACACTTCTGTTTACTTACCGATACTGGTAGTAGCGAGACTGTAGGTATAGTTACACTTCTGTTTACTTACCGACACTGGTAGTAGCGAGACTGTAAGTATAGTTACACTTCTGTTTACTTACCGATACTGGTAGTAGCAAGACTGTAGGTATAGTTACACTTCTGTTTACTTACCGATACTGGTAGTAGCGAGACTGTAAGTATAGTTACATTTCTGTTTACTTACCGATACTGGTAGTAGCAAGACTGTAAGTATAGTTACACTTCTGTTTACTTACCGATACTGGTAGTAGCAAGACTGTAAGTATAGTTACACTTCTGTTTACTTACCAATACTGGTAGTAGCAAGACTGTAAGTATAGTTACACTTCTGTTTACTTACCGATACTGGTAGTAGCGAGACTATAGGTTTAGTTACACTTCTGTTTACTTACCAATACTGGTAGTAGCAAGACTGTAAGTATAGTTACACTTCTGTTTACTTACCGATACTGGTAGTAGCAAGACTGTAAGTATAGTTACACTTCTGTTTACTTACCGATACTGGTAGTAACAAGACTGTAAGTATAGTTACACTTCTGTTTACTTACCAATACTGGTAGTAGCGAGACTGTAGGTATAGTTACACTTCTGTTTACTTACCAATACTGGTGGTAGCAAGACTGTAGGTATAGTTACACTTCTGTTTACTTACCGATACTGGTAGTAGCGAGACTGTAAGTATAGTTACACTTCTGTTTACTTACCGATACTGGTAGTAACAAGACTGTAAGTATAGTTACACTTCTGTTTACTTACCGATACTGGTAGTAGCGAGACTGTAGGTATAGTTACACTTCTGTTTACTTACCGATACTGGTAGTAGCAAGACTGTAGGTATAGTTACACTTCTGTTTACTTACCGATACTGGTAGTAGCAAGACTGTAGGTATAGTTACACTTCTGTTTACTTACCGATACTGGTAGTAGCGAGACTGTAGGTATAGTTACACTTCTGTTTACTTACCGATACTGGTAGTAGCAAGACTGTAAGTATAGTTACACTTCTGTTTACTTACCGATACTGGTAGTAACAAGACTGTAAGTATAGTTACACTTCTGTTTACTTACCGATACTGGTAGTAGCGAGACTGTAGGTATAGTTACACTTCTGTTTACTTACCGATACTGGTAGTAGCAAGACTGTAGGTATAGTTACACTTCTGTTTACTTACCGATACTGGTAGTAGCAAGACTGTAGGTATAGTTACACTTCTGTTTACTTACCGATACTGGTAGTAGCGAGACTGTAAGTATAGTTACACTTCTGTTTACTTACCGATACTGGTAGTAGCAAGACTGTAGGTATAGTTACACTTCTGTTTACTTACCGATACTGGTAGTAGCGAGACTGTAAGTATAGTTACACTTCTGTTTACTTACCGATACTGGTAGTAGCAAGACTGTAAGTATAGTTACACTTCTGTTTACTTACCGATGTCCGATACTGGTAGTAGCAAGACTGTAAGTATAGTTACACTTCTGTTTACTTACCGATACTGGTAGTAGCAAGACTGTAAGTATAGTTACACTTCTGTTTACTTACCGATACTGGTAGTAGCAAGACTGTAGGTATAGTTACACTTCTGTTTACTTACCGATACTGGTAGTAGCGAGACTGTAAGTATAGTTACATTTCTGTTTACTTACCGATACTGGTAGTAGCAAGACTGTAAGTATAGTTACATTTCTGTTTACTTACCGATACTGGTAGTAGCAAGACTGTAAGTATAGTTACACTTCTGTTTACTTACCGATACTGGTAGTAGCAAGACTGTAAGTATAGTTACACTTCTGTTTACTTACCGATACTGGTAGTAGCAAGACTGTAAGTATAGTTACACTTCTGTTTACTTACCGATACTGGTAGTAGCAAGACTGTAAGTATAGTTACACTTCTGTTTACTTACCGATACTGGTAGTAACAAGACTGTAAGTATAGTTACACTTCTGTTTACTTACCAATACTGGTGGTAGCGAGACTATAGGTATAGTTACACTTCTGTTTACTTACCGATACTGGTAGTAGCGAGACTGTAAGTATAGTTACATTTCTGTTTACTTACCGATACTGGTAGTAGCAAGACTGTAAGTATAGTTACACTTCTGTTTACTTACCGATACTGGTAGTAGCAAGACTGTAGGTATAGTTACACTTCTGTTTACTTACCGATACTGGTAGTAGCAAGACTGTAGGTATAGTTACACTTCTGTTTACTTACCGATACTGGTAGTAGCGAGACTGTAGGTATAGTTACACTTCTGTTTACTTACCGATACTGGTAGTAGCAAGACTGTAGGTATAGTTACACTTCTGTTTACTTACCGATACTGGTAGTAGCAAGACTGTAGGTATAGTTACACTTCTGTTTACTTACCGATACTGGTAGTAGCGAGACTGTAAGTATAGTTACACTTCTGTTTACTTACCGATACTGGTAGTAGCAAGACTGTAGGTATAGTTACACTTCTGTTTACTTACCGATACTGGTAGTAGCGAGACTGTAAGTATAGTTACATTTCTGTTTACTTACCGATACTGGTAGTAGCAAGACTGTAAGTATAGTTACACTTCTGTTTACTTACCGATACTGGTAGTAGCAAGACTGTAAGTATAGTTACACTTCTGTTTACTTACCGATACTGGTAGTAGCAAGACTGTAAGTATAGTTACACTTCTGTTTACTTACCGATACTGGTAGTAACAAGACTGTAAGTATAGTTATACTTCTGTTTACTTACCAATACTGGTGGTAGCGAGACTATAGGTATAGTTACACTTCTGTTTACTTACCGATACTGGTAGTAGCGAGACTGTAAGTATAGTTACATTTCTGTTTACTTACCGATACTGGTAGTAGCAAGACTGTAAGTATAGTTACACTTCTGTTTACTTACCGATACTGGTAGTAGCAAGACTGTAGGTATAGTTACACTTCTGTTTGTACCACTCCGTTGGGTTCTGGAAGTTCTCAGAGAAATAGTGCCGGAACACTGGCTTGAACTTCTCACACTGCCGTTTATACTCCTGAGACGAGTAGTTAATTAGTTATTAACTAGTTATTAATTAATTAATTAATTAATTAATTAATGCTTAGTAAACACATCTGAAAGAAAGGAGAGGTAGCCGCGCCATGGGTTACACGGGCAGTGTTTAAGATGTCTAGCAAAATAGAAATCATACACTGAAAGACAGAACCTTACTTACCATGGTAAGCTTAGCTTCGCTTTTGTCCCTGCAAGCTTTTAAAATAGCTCGTACATCAGAGCTCTTGGTATCTTTTGGTCTATACTTGAGGTGAGCCCCATCCCTGCCCCGGCCCACTAGGTAGAGTCCAATAGGTATGGTGTTCTCGCACCACTCGACCAGACCGGATCTTTGGGACAAGGGTAGCACCTGGGTGGACATAAGTTGATAGGACGTGATAATGTGAAGCCATTTTACGGATTGTGAGCTTTAATATATTTAAAATACCATCGGACGATTACCAGGAGCTATCACTGTTCATTTTAATTAACACACTTAATATTCCATACAATTGCGTCAAACATTTGTAATGTTTCAACTAGGAACCGACCGGCTTCAAAATCCGGTTCCGGTTCCGGCTCCGGCTGGAAAAAAATTTGCCGGATTTTTGCCGGATTTCAGTTTTTTTTACCGAAAAAAAAATCAAAAAAATATTTTCGGCTAATAATGAACAGGGTAGCCTGAATCGTGGAAAAAAAAGTGGTTTTAAGAAAAACTTTTAAAAAATTTTGACTTAGAAGTTTTTCGGTCCGAGTCTGGAGTCGTTCTCGAGACGTACCTCCTGTATCGAGAGCTCCCGCTTCCGAGCTCGTGTTGCAAAGGGGAGGCCTGCCTTCCAAGATCACATTACCGGGGGAAACCTCGAGTCCAGAATTGTGTATCGATGGGTAGGTGCGGACTTCGAAAAACCAAAAAAATATTTTCGGCTAATAATGAACAGGGTAGCCTGAATCGTGGAAAAAAGTGGTTTTCAGAAAAACTTTTAAAAATTTTGACTTAGAAGTTTTTCGGTCCGAGTCGTTCTCGAGACGTACCTCCTGTATCGAGAGCTCCCGCTTCCGAGCTCGTGTTGCAAAGGGGAGGCCTGCCTTCCGTGATCACATTACCAGGGGAAACCTCGAGTCCAAAATTGTGTATCGAGGGGTAGGTGAGGACTTCGAAAAACCGAAAAAATATTTTCGGCTAATAATGAACAGGGTAGCCTGAATCGTGGAAAAAATTGGTTTTCAGAAAAACTTCGAAAAATTTTAACTTAAAAGTTTTCGGTCCGAGTCGTTCTCGAGACGTACCTCCTGTATCGAGAGCTCCCGCTTCCGAGCTCGTGTTGCAAAGGGGAGGCCTGCCTTCCGAGATCGCATTACCGGGGGAAACCTTGAGTCCAGAATACAGAATAGTGTATCGAGGGGTAGGTGCGGACTTAGAAAAAACCGGAAAATATTTTGGGCCACCTCCCTGGGCTAGCCCCCGGCTATAATCGCAAAATTGGCAGTATTTAATCTTCTGATTATGAAATACGAAATATTAAATTCACGTGTTCAGGGTTTAATTAGCTCATTACTGCAATCATGTGACTCAGCTCTAGACGCCAGACGGTGATTAGTACTGTACTAGACAGTGCCTGCTTATGAACAACCTTATTAAGCACCTCTGGTTGTAAGTCACGTGACCCAATGATACTCAGACTTGCATGAAAAAAAGGGAATTCGCACAAACGCGCTCAATCAGGGCCGGGGTCTGGCAGCATATGCCAATTAGATATCATTTCTGATTATTACTCGTCTAGTGTCGTGTCTCGTGTCTACTCGTGTTACATTGTGTCTGCTACGTACTGCTTGTTTAAGCAATGTCTAGTAGTAGATAGGAAGATTTGTAAAAAAACTATATCTGTTCGGACGTTGAAGCCGCCCTAAGTCGAGTCGAGTAGTAGTAAATCTAAAACATCGTCCGTCTGGTTGTTCTACTCAGAAGAAAATGGGATCCCTTATGCAAGCTGCAAGAAGTGCTCGATGAAGATTAGGCGTGGAAAGGAAGGAAATTTTCCGGCAACATCCGGCAAAATCCGGCTGCCTTTTATTTCACTCTGAAACCACCGGTTCCGGTCCGGCAAAATCCGGCTTGCCGGATTTGAGATCCAAATCCGGCTGAATCCGGTCCGGCAGCCAAAACCCCAATCCGGTCGGTTCCTAGTTTCAACTCTCATCAGAACACAGTTTATGTTAATCACAAACCTTGTAGGTTCTCATACTGAGATGGTGAGTCAGCTGGTTCTTGGAGAGGAGCTGGTTTGCTACATTAAATACCTGCTCCATCACTGCGTCCTGTCTCATATCATCGTTACCCTGGTGAGGAGTATATATTAATTACTTGCTCCATCACTGCGTCCTGTCTCATATCATCGTTACCCTGGCGAGGACTATACATTAAATACTTGCTCCATCACTGCGCCCTGTGTCATATCATCGTTACCCTGGTGAGGAGTATACATTAAATACTTGCTCCATCACTGCGTCCTGTCTCATATCATCGTTACCCTGGTGAGGAGTATACATTAAATACTTGCTCCATCACTGCGTCCTGTCTCATATCATCGTTACCCTGGTTAGGAGTATACATTAAATACCTGCTCCATCACTGCGTCCTGTCTCATATCATCGTTACCCTGGTGAGGAGTATACATTAAATACTTGCTCCATCAGTGCGTCCTGTTTCATATCATCGTTACCCTGGTGAGGAGTATACATTAAATACTTGCTCCATCACTGCATCCTGTCTCATATCATCGTTACCCTGGTGAGGAGTATACATTAAATACTTGCTCCATCACTGCGTCCTGTCTCATATCATCGTTACCCTGGTGAGGAGTATACATTAAATACTTGCTCCATCACTGCGTCCTGTCTCATATCATCGTTACCCTGGTGAGGAGTATATATTAATTACTTGCTCCATCACTGCGTCCTGTCTCATATCATCGTTACCCTGGCGAGGACTATACATTAAATACTTGCTCCATCACTGCGCCCTGTGTCATATCATCGTTACCCTGGTGAGGAGTATACATTAAATACTTGCTCCATCACTGCGTCCTGTCTCATATCATCGTTACCCTGGTGAGGAGTATACATTAAATACTTGCTCCATCACTGCGTCCTGTCTCATATCATCGTTACCCTGGTTAGGAGTATACATTAAATACCTGCTCCATCACTGCGTCCTGTCTCATATCATCGTTACCCTGGTGAGGAGTATACATTAAATACTTGCTCCATCAGTGCGTCCTGTTTCATATCATCGTTACCCTGGTGAGGAGTATACATTAAATACTTGCTCCATCACTGCATCCTGTCTCATATCATCGTTACCCTGGTGAGGAGTATACATTAAATACTTGCTCCATCACTGCGTCCTGTCTCATATCATCGTTACCCTGGTGAGGAGTATACATTAAATACTTGCTCCATCACTGCGTCCTGTCTCATATCATCGTTACCCTGGTTAGGAGTATACATTAAATACTTGCTCCATCACTGCGTCCTGTCTCATATCATCGTTACCCTGGTTAGGAGTATACATTAAATACTTGCTCCATCACTGCGTCCTGTCTCATATCATCGTTACCCTGGTGAGGAGTATACATTAAATACTTGCTCCATCACTGCGTCCTGTCTCATATCATCGTTACCCTGGTGAGGAGTATACATTAAATACTTGCTCCATCACTGCGTCCTGTCTCATATCATCGTTACCCTGGTGAGGAGTATACATTAAATACTTGCTCCATCACTGCGTCCTGTCTCATATCATCGTTACCCTGGTGAGGAGTATACATTAAATACTTGCTCCATCACTGCGTCCTGTCTCATATCATCGTTACCCTGGTGAGGAGTATACATTAAATACTTGCTCCATCACTGCGTCCTGTCTCATATCATCGTTACCCTGGTGAGGAGTATACATTAAATACTTGCTCCATCACTGCGTCCTGTCTCATATCATCGTTACCCTGGTGAGGAGTATACATTAAATACTTGCTCCATCACTGCGTCCTGTCTCATATCATCGTTACCCTGGTGAGGAGTATACATTAAATACTTGCTCCATCACTGCGTCCTGTCTCATATCATCGTTACCCTGGTTAGGAGTATACATTAAATACTTGCTCCATCACTGCGTCCTGTCTCATATCATCGTTACCCTGGTGAGGAGTATACATTAAATACTTGCTCCATCACTGCGTCCTGTCTCATATCATCGTTACCCTGGTGAGGAGTATACATTAAATACTTGCTCCATCACTGCGTCCTGTCTCATATCATCGTTACCCTGGTGAGGAGTATACATTAAATACTTGCTCCATCACTGCGTCCTGTCTCATATCATCGTTACCCTGGTGAGGAGTATACATTAAATACTTGCTCCATCACTGCGTCCTGTCTCATATCATCGTTACCCTGGTTAGGAGTATACATTAAATACTTGCTCCATCACTGCATCCTGTCTCATATTATCGTTACCCTGGTGAGGAGTATACATTAAATACTTGCTCCATCACTGCGTCCTGTCTCATATCATCGTTACCCTGGTGAGGAGTATACATTAAATACTTGCTCCATCACTGCGTCCTGTCTCATATCATCGTTACCCTGGTGAGGAGTATACATTAAATACTTGCTCCATCACTGCGTCCTGTCTCATATCATCGTTACCCTGGTTAGGAGTATACATTAAATACTTGCTCTATCACTGCATCCTGTCTCATATTATCGTTACCCTGGTGAGGAGTATACATTAAATACTTGCTCCATCACTGCGTCCTGTCTCATATCATCGTTACCCTGGTAAGGAGTATACATTAAATACTTGCTCCATCACTGCGTCCTGTCTCATATCATCGTTACCCTGGTTAGGAGTATACATTAAATACTTGCTCCATCACTGCGTCCTGTCTCATATCATCGTTACCCTGGTTAGGAGTATACATTAAATACTTGCTCCATCACTGCGTCCTGTCTCATATCATCGTTACCCTGGTGAGGAGTATACATTAAATACTTGCTCCATCACTGCGTCCTGTCTCATATCATCGTTACCCTGGTGAGGAGTATACATTAAATACTTGCTCCATCACTGCGTCCTGTCTCATATCATCGTTACCCTGGTTAGGAGTATACATTAAATACTTGCTCCATCACTGCGTCCTGTCTCATATCATCGTTACCCTGGTGAGGAGTATACATTAAATACCTGCTCCATCACTGCGTCCTGTCTCATATCATCGTTACCCTGGTTAGGAGTAGATACATTAAATACTTGCTCCATCACTGCGTCCTGTCTCATATCATCGTTACCCTGGTGAGGAGTATACATTAAATACTTGCTCCATCACTGCGTCCTGTCTCATATCATCGTTACCCTGGTGAGGAGTATACATTAAATACTTGCTCCATCACTGCGTCCTGTCTCATATCATCGTTACCCTGGTTAGGAGTATACATTAAATACGTGCTCCATCACTGCGTCCTGTCTCATATCATCGTTACCCTGGTGAGGAGTATACATTAAATACTTGCTCCATCACTGCGTCCTGTCTCATATCATCGTTACCCTGGTGAGGAGTATACATTAAATACTTGCTCCATCACTGCGTCCTGTCTCATATCATCGTTACCCTGGTGAGGAGTATACATTAAATACTTGCTCCATCACTGCGTCCTGTCTCATATCATCGTTACCCTGGTGAGGAGTATACATTAAATACTTGCTCCATCACTGCGTCCTGTCTCATATCATCGTTACCCTGGTGAGGAGTATACATTAAATACTTGCTCCATCACTGCGCCCTGTCTCATATCATCGTTACCCTGGTTAGGAGTATACATTAAATACTTGCTCCATCACTGCATCCTGTCTCATATTATCGTTACCCTGGTGAGGAGTATACATTAAATACTTGCTCCATCACTGCGTCCTGTCTCATATCATCGTTACCCTGGTGAGGAGTATACATTAAATACTTGCTCCATCACTGCGTCCTGTCTCATATCATCGTTACCCTGGTGAGGAGTATACATTAAATACTTGCTCCATCACTGCGTCCTGTCTCATATCATCGTTACCCTGGTTAGGAGTATACATTAAATACTTGCTCCATCACTGCATCCTGTCTCATATTATCGTTACCCTGGTGAGGAGTATACATTAAATACTTGCTCCATCACTGCGTCCTGTCTCATATCATCGTTACCCTGGTAAGGAGTATACATTAAATACTTGCTCCATCACTGCGTCCTGTCTCATATCATCGTTACCCTGGTTAGGAGTATACATTAAATACTTGCTCCATCACTGCGTCCTGTCTCATATCATCGTTACCCTGGTTAGGAGTATACATTAAATACTTGCTCCATCACTGCGTCCTGTCTCATATCATCGTTACCCTGGTGAGGAGTATACATTAAATACTTGCTCCATCACTGCGTCCTGTCTCATATCATCGTTACCCTGGTGAGGAGTATACATTAAATACTTGCTCCATCACTGCGTCCTGTCTCATATCATCGTTACCCTGGTTAGGAGTATACATTAAATACTTGCTCCATCACTGCGTCCTGTCTCATATCATCGTTACCCTGGTGAGGAGTATACATTAAATACCTGCTCCATCACTGCGTCCTGTCTCATATCATCGTTACCCTGGTGAGGAGTATACATTAAATACGTGCTCCATCACTGCGTCCTGTCTCATATCATCATTACCCTGGTGAGGAGTATACACTAAATACTTGCTCCATCACTGCGTCCTGTCTCATATCATCGTTACCCTGGTGAGGAGTATACGGACACGTTCATTTGAGTTTGAGGATATTGGTAAACAAAAATAATAGCGTTTTTGACGATAGTGGCTTAATTTTGACATCTATTAACCTAGCACGTTCAGAAGTTCTGAACATTAGCCACGTAACCCATACTCCCATATGCACCGCTCAGAAAGAAAATCTATTGTTGTTAGGCACTATAATGTTTCAAATGTCACATTTTGTGTGACTTAGTTAACTGCAGTTGTCTAATTATCATGCCTTGGTCTGAAATATAGTAAATTAGGTCAATCTAACAATTATGATACAACATTGGTTAATGGGCACGGATCGAACGGTTACAAGGTAATATTTGGATAACTTTGTCACACTCATGATACCATACCTCTATTCTACTGTGAGGTGTCCTAAAAACCCTTTCAACTCATTATTTTATGGTTGCTCTACCAAGCATAGCCCTAAAATATGTTATTTTGAATAGTTAGCTAATACAGGCACTTGGTTATTGGGAAATGAGGTTAATT